GAACCGTTTCCTCTCCAGATCGGCTGAAAGGTCTCTCCCTTTCTTCCAAATCATGCGCAGGGCAAACAGCTTCAAGTGGACGACGAAATGTCAGCAAGCGTTCGAAGAGTTGAAGCAGTACATTTTGTCCCCTCCCGTGCTTTCCAAGCCAAAAGCCGGTGAAACCCTCTTCTTGTACTTAGGGGTGAGCACGTCGGCCATTGGTTCTGTGCTATTCCGCGAGGATGAAGGGGTAGAGAGGGCAATTTTCTACGTCAGCAAAACACTGCGGGAGGCCGAGCTCAAGTACTCCCCCATTGAGAAGAAGGTGCTAGCCATTGTCCACACGGTGAATAAGCTGGGGCACTACTTCCAGGCCCATGTCGTCCATGTGTTGACTCAGCAGCCCCTCGGTGCACTCATGCGGAGCCCCACTAGCTCCTCAAGGATGGTGAAGTGGGCAATCTTCCTTAGCTAGTTCCAGATTGAAATCAAGCCAAGACCATCTATCAAAGGGCAAGCCTTGGCCGACTTTGTCACCGAGTGCACGACAAGGGAGACGACCGCTACCATACCCGGGCCAGAGCCAGATGAGACATGGATCCTCTTCACTGACGGCTCGTCGGCTGCAAAAGCATGTGGGGGTGGTGTCGTCCTCATCTCCCCCGAAGGATTCAGAGCCTACTACTCCATCCGCTTCAACTTCAGGGTATCCAACAACGAAGCCAAGTATGAGACCCTTCTCGGCGGCCTCAGACTCGCCGCCGGCCTCAAAGCGCGACGCATCAAAATCAAATGCGACTCCAAACTGGTGATGGGCCAGATCGAGGGCTCGTACGAGGCCAAAGAAGGGAGGATGAGGCAGTACAAACAAGCGGCTGAGGAGTTGCTCAAGGCATTTGAAACCCATGAGATCACACAGATCCCAAGGGCGGAGAATGTTGAGGTCGACATCCTCTCCAAACTCAGCACAGATACTCCGGAGCGCATCTCTAAAATAGCCAAGGTTGAGGAGCTCGGCATGTCCAGCATCCATGCCAGCCCGGTCATGTGCATTCAGCATCGGCCAGAGGATTGGATCACGGATATCATGACCTTCATCACTTTTGGATAGATACCCCAGGACGAGGAGAGGGCCATCACTTCTGGAGAGCTACCCCAGGACGAGGAGAGGGCCAAGCAAGCCAAACTCAGGGCCCCAAGTTACACCATTGAAGATGGGAAACTCTATAAGAGATCCTACAACGGCACTCTCCTCCGATGCCTACACCAGGATGAGGCCGACATAGCCATGGAGGAAGTTCACTGTGGCGTCTGCTCCTCACACCAGGGCCCTTTCAGCATGTCCCGCCGCCTCGTCGTCCAAGGCTATTTCTGGCCGACGATGGCACGGGATTGTGTTAATCTTGCAAGTAAGTGTACCGCATGCCAGGTACTTCAGAAGGCCCTTGGTCGGTCGGCCGTCAACTACGTCCCGGTCAGCACTGCAATCCCTTTCTCAAGGTGGGGGATTGACCTGGTCAGCCCCCTGCCCAGAGCCACCGGTAACAACCGCTACATCATTGTCGCCGTCGATTACTTCACCAAGTGGGTCGAAGCGGAACCTTTGGCTAGCATCACAGGGGCCAGGGGCCAGAGGTTTGTCCACAAGAACATGCTCACCCGCTTCGGTGTTCCCCAGGAGATTATATCCGACAACGGCACCCAGTTCGAGGTCGCACCCTTCCAAGAGCTCCTCCAGGAATGGGGAATCAAGCATCGCTTCTCCTCCGTTGCCTACACTCATGGTAACAGACAAGTTGAGAATGCCAACAAAACCATTCTGGAGGGCCTGAAGAAGAAACTCCAGGACGCTGCAGGCAGCTGAGCCGACGAGCTCCCCAACATTCTGTGGTGCTACCGTACCATGCTGAGGAGGGCGACGCGTGAAACATACCCAACCATATGCCATGGTTTTGAGGCGAAGGCGCCCATAGAGGTCACCATACCCAGCCGACGGGTGGAGCAATATGAACCCGATGCCAACGAAGAAAGCATGAAGATCGACCTCCACCTGATCGAAGAAAGACGAGAGCAGGCCTTCATCCAGGCGGAGAACTACCGGCGTCAAGTGAAATCATACTATGACGCCGAGGTACGTTCCCGGGAATTCCAGGTGGGGGACTACGTCCTCCACCGAAGGGAGGTGAGCAAGCCAACGCAAGGTGGCAAGCTGGTACTCAAGTACGAAGGCCCCTACATTGTTAGTGTCGTAGTCAAACCCGACACTTATAAACTTAAACGCCCAAATGGGTCTAATGTACCACGAACGTGGAATGTACATCACTTGGTGAAATTTTATCAATAATCCGAGGACGGTGAAACTGGCAAAGCCCTCACTTTCCCGTGGGTTATTGATTGACTACCACCCTCGGCCTGGAGCCACTTATCAATAAAAGTTGTATTCTACTTGCTTTTTTCTAAAAAGTTTAAGGAAAAGATACCATATTACACTGACCCGTTAGAGCGAGACGCTCAGGTAAGGTCGACAGAGCACATCGTATCGACCCCTTAGAGTGCGACGCTCAGGTAAGGCCGACGATGTCCCCAAGACGAGGGGCCCGCAAACGGCTCGCGTCTTGAAATGGGAAGCTCACCGCGTCATTCACACGCGAAAATCACAGGACGACAGGTCTGAAATCATGGCCGAGGTGACAGAAATCCCCAAATTCGGTGTTGAGGAACGGAAGCCATCAGTAACCGACCAAAAGCCTTAGCCCGCGTCATAAATAGATGACGGAACCTCCCCGATATCATAGGACGATCCAGTAGGACTCCTTACCGGCCAAGGAATAGCAACCCCCTTGGCCGGAGCCTGAAAGAAGGATACCCACTCCTCGCTCAAAGAAGTAAAGAGGAAGGAAATAAAAGAGGGACAGCCGAAGGACCGTGCACTCGCCGGCCTTAAGCGAAATCCCCAAAAATAAAAGAGGGACAGCCGAAGGACCGTGCACTCGCCGGCCTCAAGTGAAATCCCCAAAAATAAAAGAGGGACAGTTGAAGGACCGTGCACTCGCCGACCTAAAGCAAAATTCCCAAAAATAAAAGAGGGAAGCCGATACACCGTGCACTTGCCGGGCTCAAGCAATAAAAATGAAATCCCCAAAAATTGACCAAGTACATATAAGTTAAACACAAGAAAAAGGGGTATGCCGATGAGTGGCATCCCGAGTGGCCGACAAGAGTCCCAACGAAGATGACGAAAATTTTCTAAGGCATGAAAGGGAAACAAACCTCCTACTCTCCTTGGCCGAAAGTGGAAAACATCCCATCGGCCGAACAAAGGTCAAAGTACCCTCATCGGCCACAACCAAAGGAAACGACTGCCTACTCTAAGCTAAACACTTAGAAACATTTCCAAAGTATGAGATAACAAAAACAGTACTAGGACAAGGAAGACGCCACTCCCTCAGCCGAACAAAGGGCAAAAACCTTCGTCGGCCACGACCACAGGAAGTAACTACCTAAGCCTTTGTTTGACACTTAGAAAAATTTCAAAGTAAAAACAAAAAGGACAAGGGGGGGAGTGACACAAGATGAAGAAGGCATAAAAGCCGAAAGCGACGGCTAAACATTTCCATTCACAAAGTTTAAAATATAAAGAAGAGGGCACAACGGCCTTTACATATACAGGCAATGCGGTCGTTACATATCAACAAAACAAGAAAAAGGGATCAGGCTTCTCCGCATCGGCATCTGGAACGGACGTACTTACGGCTTCATCGGTCTGGGAAGAAGCAGGGTCCAGGAACACCTCTTCATCGTCCCAATCCACCTCGCCGATGCTAGAGCTGATGATGGGGGCTTGCCTCTCCTCCGCCGGGAGCTTGGCCTCCTCCTCCGGATCCTTCATCTTTGGAGGCAGCTTCAGCTTATGAGCAAACTTTTTGTTCAACTTCACCTCCTGGCATCTACGACGCAGCCTCCTGTAGATAAGCCATTGCATCCGCTGCTGGCCCATGTCGTCGTAAACCGACATCTCCCTTTCAAAGTACTCCTGGTCGGCAGGAGAGTTATGGCCCCAATCTTCGAGCCTGGCCGCCATAAGCTCATAGCACCAAGGTCGATGCTCCTCAGCTTTCCAGCCGTCGGCCAGAAACTTCTCGATGGCAGCATCGGCGACCTTCTCGGCCTCAGCTTTGGCTTTCTCAGCCTCATCAGCGCAAAGGCGATCAGCTTCACGGGCCTCCTTCTCACCGGCGAGCTTGGTCAGGGCATCGTCCCTGTCCGTAGTCACTTGGCGGTAGGCCACATCAGACTCGTCGGATCTCTTCTTAAAGGCTTCCACCTCGCCCCGTAGCCGCTCCAGGCAGTTCATGGCCTCTTCGGCCGAAGCAGCCTTCTCCTCAACCTCTTTCAGTCGAGCAATTTATTGTTGTTGCCTCTTGTGGCTCCCCATCAGCATGAAGCCCCCCTGCAAAAATGAAATAGTTAGGACGATGACGACACCTACGGTGACAGAAAAGGGACGAAAGTAATAGTATGCAAGGATCTTACTTGGACGACGAGGTCCATTCCACCGTCATAGATCCTGACGTTGCCAAGCTTAAATAGATAGGCCCGGTCCTCGATTGGGATGGCATGCGAGATCACGTCGTGGCCGTCAACAACCTCATTGCAGACGCCTCCCTTCACGGGATACTCAACCTCCAATTTGTAAGTCCTCGTGACCATTTCCTTATCGGACCGCTTCTTTCAGGAATCGTGGACGACAAGGGGAGGCTGAGAGATGGCAGTGGAAGAGGGACCGGATGTAAAGTCCACTAGGGCAGCAGCTTTGGAGCCTCCAGCGTCTCAGACCGACACAGTCACAACCCCGACGTCAGCATCGGCCAAGGGAGAAGCACTCTTTGACTTCTTGGCAGGTTGCGTACCGGCCTCAGTCAGCTTCTTCTGGCCATCGTCGGCCTGCTGTTTTTTCTTTGGCTGGGTGGGCGGCTTCAGCGGTTGTCCAGAGCTCGAATGTGCTCCAGTTTCTGCGGCCAGCTTCGCAGCATCTTTAACGGCCTGTTCAGCGGCCACCTTTACCTTAGCCCTGCTCATGACGGATCTGTGATCCATGACAAAGTCTGCACGAAAAGAAAACAAACGTTAACGAAGCGAAGAAGAGAAAAGGGGATCAAGTACGTTGGGGAAGCATTACCATCGGCTTCAGCGGGAACACCCCAATCCGGGCCATCGGCCTCCTCAAAGGTGGTAGTCATCTTCGGCCAAATTTCAACATCATCCTCTGCATCCTCGTAGACGAAGTACCTCACAAAGCCGAGGGCGGCCATCTTATACTCCGTGATATATTCCTTCACGCTCCTCGGCCCCCCTTCCAAGAACGCCGCCACCTGAGCGTCCAAGATTGAACTCTTCGACGCATCATGGAGGTTAAATCTCCCGTTGTGGGCGACGAAAGGAAACTCGGTCCCACCCTCGCCCAGCGGCACGAAGACGAACTTACTTTTCCACACATGGATGGATGTCGGAAGATCAGTGAAGGACCTCCTATTCTTCACCTGCTGCAGATTGGCATAGCCGGCACAATTCTGGTGGCTACCTCGGCCTGTTTGATATAGGTTCATGAACAGAGCCGTTGTCGGCTTGAAATCCAACTCGGCACAGCGAAAGAGAAAGCCAATGATCAACAAATAGTTGTTCGGGGTCAGTAGGGCCGGAGGAAGCTCCACCATGTCCAAATATTCTGTGATGAACGGATGAAGGGGGAACCTGAACCCCTTGGCAAAACTCATGGGGTATATACCCCAAAGTAGCCCGGTGGTGGATTAAGTATGTAGTCCATCGGCTTAGGGGCCCTAGCCCTACCAAACGGTCCCACGTACATCTGGGCAACCAGGTACTCGGTCGCGCAGCTCTGCGGCCTGATGATACATTGATACGAACGTTGGTGAGATCCAAGTAGGAGAAAGCAGGACGTTTCTTCGGCCGACACTTTCTCTTCAAGGCAGTCCCCTTAACCACAGACACTGACTTTGGGCAAGGGATGGTAGCCGAGGTAGATGCTCCATCCTTGGCACGAGAGACCCACGCGTCCTCACCTTCAGATGATGAGGCGGCCTCCTCGTCCTCTGGCTCCCCTGATTTGAAAGAGCTCAAATCCTCGATCTCCTCGCAGCACTCCTCCACCACTCGTTAGTCAAGGGATTTGACAGAGGCCTCGTCGTCATACGGGTAGTACTCTTCGTCCACGGTCTTCATCATAACGACTAATGGAGCCATCATAACGACTAATGGAGCCCTAAGGGGAACTACTCTAGATCTAAGGTTGGTTTTTTGACTAACACTCAATCAAGACCTAAGGAAGCAAAACATGCAAGAAATCGGAGAAAAGGTTGATGAACTGACCTTTGAAGTTTTGAAGAACGAAAGAACACTCGAAAAAACTTCTCTCTCTAAGAATTTGGGCAGCATTTCGGTATCAAGGGATGCAAATGGGGGGCTTCCTTCGGCCACCTCCCCAACATTGATCCTAAAATATAGATAAAAGTGGATCCCACGGTGCTTCGTCTAGTTTACAATATATGTTTCAAGAAAAATCACGTGGTATGAAATTAGCCTTTCTCACATTTTTATTGGCATATTTTGATCCTCAGGCCATGGAAGGTCGGTGCAAGTTGTGGATACCCAAGAAGAATAGGTTTTGCGCAAATTCTCCTCTTCCCACCTCACCTTTCTGCGGAAACCACACGGCAAGATCCAACGGTCAATGGGCTCCTTGTCCGATCGACCCTTCTCACTCCGTGCTACAAGAGAATCTTCAAAGTCACCTGAAGCGATGTCCACTTCTGAAACAAACTCAATCGCTTTCTCTCCAGCCTTTCTATCAAAAGAGAATCAACGCTGGTACAGAGAGTGAGTTTGCCCTCGCTGCATCTGAAATGAAGAGGAATGCTGTATATTCCATGTCCGTTTACGAGTTCTCCAAATTAATCACCAAAATCAGGTCTATCCATGCTTCCATCTGCAATTTCATTCCCGATTCTTTCAAAATTCCACAAGCTTGTAGCAATTGGACAGACCGACAAGCTGCAGATTCCAAGTTGCCATATGAAGAAAAGCATGTTCTTCAGCAATCATCTATTCTAGGGAACCTTGAAGAGTTTGGAGTTCTGAAGCAATCCAGTGATCATCATCGTGCAGCAGCCGTTGTGGAATTCGGTGCTGGAAGGGGTTACTTGACCCAATTATTGGCCGATTGTTACGGATTCAAAAATGTTGTGCTGGTTGAACGCAAACCCTACAAGCTTAAGGCGGATAGGAGTTTGAGGCAGAAAGAGGGGTTAAGGTTAGAGAGGTTGAGGATTGACATTGAGGACCTGAACTTAAAAGGCGTGGAGTGTTTACAGGGAGTAGTGTATCTAGCATTGGGGAAACATCTTTGCGGGCCGGCTACAGATATGACATTAAGATGTTGCATGAACGAGCCCCCAGTTGGGGTAGCCATAGCTACATGTTGCCATCATCTCTGTCAATGGAGGGATTACATAAACAAGGAATATATGTTGAACCTGGGAGTGGGAATGGAAGAATTTAATGCTTTGACATGGTTTACCAGCTGGGCGGTTGATGCAGCAGCAGATCATGGTTCGGATTTGAATGGTGGCTGCACTGGTACTGAACCACAAACAAGGGGCAATGCGGCGGTGATGGATGTATCGGGAGTGGAAGGATTGTGCAAGAGTATGAAGGCTGTAGATAGGGCTGCTTTGGGGTTTATGTGCAAAGATATAATTGATGCAGGGAGGATGAGTTGGCTTAAGGAAGTTGGATTTGAATGTGAGATGGTTAAATATGTTCCCTCTTCCATCTCTCCGGAAAACCATTTGTTGCTTGCCAGGAAAAAGTAGTAACGGATCAATCCTATGATGTATTACTTTGTTACTAGTGTTTGTTTTTGTCTTCCTAACACACACATACATTTATATTTGTTGCCTTTATCCTTTTTGTCTTCTTCAGTTATATGGCTATTCAGACTTGTGGGGTTATGGAATCGCCAAGAATTTATGTTTCTCTTTGTAGCTGTGGCTTGGGGTGGTGGTGTGGATTTTATTATGGTTGTAGTAGTTCTCATGCGGGATTTCTATATGCACTGGTGAAAAGGCCTGGGCAATGCCGAATGCCCCAAGAGTGCTTCAATTTAAAAAGAAGTATGAGTTAAAATAAAAATACTACGTAGTAATATATACTCCCTCGATCCCGGAATTATCTTCGTACTTTCCTTTTCGGTCTGTCCCAAATTTATCTCTTATTTTTCTTTTTAGTTTTTAGCAAAGAATTTGTGGTTCACAGCCATTTTTACACATTCTTACACATTTCTCTTTCCTCTGCACAACTCTCCACCACACATTTCCCACTATCTTAGAGGCCGTTTGGCAACCCTCATTTTCGGCTTATGAGTCAGCTTTTTTACCAAACACGTAAATTTTGCTTTCGCGTGCTGAATTGTGTAATAAGCCGAAAAAGTAAGGTTATAGTTACTTTTCTGGTTGTATTGGGTGAAGTTACTGTAGATGACCATTTTAACTATTTTTACATATAATTTTTTTTCTTTATTTTATTAATAAGATATATTTTAAAAATATTTTTTTCTTGTATAAGCAGAATAAACCAATGCAGCCACTTCAGTCAGAATTTCATAAATTTCAGCAGAATAAGCCAGAATAACCGATTTTCGTGCTCCCAAACGGGCTATTAATTTGTGTGATAATTGTACTTGTGAAGATAAATATGGGACGGAGGGAGTATATATAGAGGAGATTTCTAGTGAGAAACAATCTTAAAATGAGAACTATTAATGTGAACCCTTGGATCTTTAGATCTTAAATTAATCTCTCAGCTACGATTACTCTCCCACGGACGTACATTTCAACCATTCACGTTGCTTCTCTTTCGTAGCAAAAGCTCCATCTTCTTTGAAAAAATCATAGCTCCATTTTCGACCTTTTGTCTTCTTCTCACTGTATCCGTCGTCTTCATTCACCGCGTCGGTTGTCAATGTCCCCTTAATTATTTTCGAAAATACGAAGATATTTGATATGGGAAAAAACTGGAATATTGGTGTTAGTTCTTAGGTGGGCATGCGGGGGGTTTAATATAACTTCATTCCTGGGCAAATTACTTAATCTTAATCTTATTTGCAAATTACTGATGTGAACTTGGGTGACTTTGAAAGTTTGAATGAATAAAAATGGAATGAAGGCTGTCATAATGAAGTCCGACTGGTGAAAACCAGGGCACCCGGCAAGAAACAGTTCAACTGATGCTCTTCTAATTACCCATTTTCACTTGGATCATGCTGCTTCCCTCCCATATTTTCTAGAAAAGACCACATTTAAAGGGAGAGTTTTCATGACCCATGCTACCAAGGCAATTTATAAATTGTTATTACCAGATTATGTTTAAGTGAGCAAATTTTCTATGGAAGATATGCTATTTGATGAAACTCACATCAACAAATCCATGGATAAAATTGAGGTCATTGACTTCCATCAGACAATGAAAGTAAATGGAATCCGTTTCTGGTGCTACACTGCCGGCCATGTTCTTGGTGCTGACATGTTTGTGGTCAACATTGCTGGTGTTCGAGTTCTTTATACGGTAGACTACTCTCATGAAGAAGACAGACATCTTCGTGCTGCAGAGCTCCCTCAGTTTTCACCGGACGGTTGCATTGTTGAATCAACATATGGCGTTCAACAACACCAACACAGACACATTAGAGAGAAACACTTCACTGATGTCATACACTCAACTCTCACCCAAGGAGGCCGTGTCCTAATCGGGATTATACTAGATGAGTATTGGTCTACCCATCAAAAGCTCCAGAAGATCCCCATATACTATGTTTCACCACTTGCAAAAAGATGTATGGCTGTTTATCAGACCTATATAAACGCTATGAATGATAGAATCCGCAACCAGTTTGTCAACTCAAACCCCTTTGAGTTCAAACACAGTTCTCCTCTGAACAGTATCAAGGGCTTTCAGGATATGGGCCCTTGTGTGGTTATGGCAAGTCCCGGCAGTCTTCAGAGTGGGCTTTCAGGGCAGCTATTTGACAAGTGGTGCTCTAACAAGAGAAATGCCTGGGTTATTCCTGGATATGTTATTCAAGGAACCGAAATACTTCGTACATGGTATTGTTGTTAGTTACATGTTTAGTTTTTTTGATTCAGCCGCATGTAGATATGTTTTACAATTTGTCTGTCTCAAGTTCCAAAATACTTTTGTGTTGCCTATGTGGGATTCGAACCCGCATTTATGTGTTTATGAACACATCGCTCTACCATTTGAGCTAATAGGCTAAACATGACAGAGTATTATTCAAGACATTTTGAAATGGAGTTACATATTACTACGTAATATGTAACTGCAATTCCTCACCCTTGAAACACAACTGCAATTTATCAGGCACCTTCACTAAAAACTTAATGGTTTGCCAAGGTGCAAGTCTTTTATTTTGCCCAGCTAAAGTACAAAGCCAAAGTACTAAAATCCCACTTATTTTCTTATCCTGATTTTTTTGTTGCTTCAACTACACATCTCCCTCTATCAACTGCTACAATAATTGTTATTACAATTTGGCTCTGCATTCACTGTGAGAGATGTCATTGCAGGAACTAAAATCACGTCATTTTTGTTCACTGATGAAAAATGACTCTAAGAAGAAAAGCAACATGAAAGACAATATTTTAAAATTCTCTCCCATCAGGGACAACAAGTTTTCATTTGGGATGTTAGTTACCCAATTTCAATTTGTGTAATTTAAGGGAACAATCACGATAACATACAAAGTTGACATGTCTTACTTTGTGAAATTTGACAATTTCAGATTGAAAACTTAAAAATAAAAAAGAGATGCATGTAGAATCGCAAACAGATAGGAATTCAAATTAAACATAACCAAGAAACAATTCGGACTTTGACAAATACTTGGTACTATTCAAATTTAACTCTTTCATATCAAAGCTCCAATACACTCATTTTTTAAAGAAATTCGAAAAATAAAAAGACAGATTGACATCAAACGTAACCTAGCAGATCATCAGAATGAGAGTAGCTTTCTCAAATCAACATCTGAACACTGTAAAATATTTTTTGATGTTCAGAAATGGGGGCAAGCCTCAATTGGAGAAAAGCTGACAGCCATGAAACCAAAAGAAAAATCAACCGAATGCCCGGAGTAACACTCGGCCTAGACCTGGAGTAAACCTCGACGAAGACCAATCGAAGCAAAACTCATTGATCCAAAGGAGCACCACTCGCTGAAGATTATATATTGATGACCGACGTGGTGGATGAAGCGGATCTCTTGTATTTAGAAGAAGGGCTTTTGTACGAAAGAGAAACGACGTGAATGGTTGCAGGGAGAGGAAAATGTTCGTCAGTGGCAGAGTAATCGGAGCTGAGAGATTAATTTAAGATCTAAAGATCCAAAGACCAATATTAGTTATTCTTTTTTTTTTGGATAATCCAGGTGTCGGGGATTACGCTCCTATAATCCTGGAGTCTATGAACTACTCTCCAAAGCTCCTAGACAGTTCAGTTCGGATCTGATCACAGCCAGACTCGTCAGTACCGGCTCCAAAGGACGAATACAGCAGGACGTACATCACATTTCAGGCTGCTCCTCCCACCACACGAACCCGCTACCTTCATTAACATCCTCTCCCTTCTCAGCCGCTGAGCAACTCCGTGAAGGTAGGAAGAATCATTGGGAGCAAGACCTCCCTCCTCTCCCCTAAATGTGCCTAGCGGGATTCGAAATCGAGACCTCCGCTAGAACACGTAACCTTCCACCGAGTGACACGGTAACCAATATTAGTTATTCTCATTTTAAAGAAGTTTCAGAACCCTCCAATATATATATATAGGGAGCGGTTCCGGTAAGAACAAATCTTAGGAGAGAAATGAGAACGAATCTGGATCGTTGGATTGAATTATGTGAAACTCAATTGTGCATTTGGTGAAACTGAAATGTGCATTAGATGATATTAAAATGTACAGAATTAAAATTTAAACTCACATGTGCATTAGGTGAAACTGAAATGTGCAGAATAAAAGGTACAAAAATAACATCACATCTTACCTTTTATTCTACACGTTTTAGTTTCATATAGTGCACATTTCAAATTCACCTAATGCACAATTTAGCTTCACATAATGTCACTACATTGTACCATTTGTGCTGCACATTTCAATTTCACCTAATACACATTACAACTTCATCTAATGCACATTGAATTTCACATAAAGCAAATCTAACGGTCCAGATTCATTCTCATTTTTCTCATATAAAATAGGTTTAATTTACTAACCTACAAACTAATCCTAGCCATTCATTTAGTGCAGATTACCGTTCGTATCTATGTTAACTTTTCACAGCCAACTAATTAAAATTGAGGATGTTTTAGTCAATTAATCCACTTCTATAATGGAACACAAATCATGTTGGTCACTTTCCATTCTCATAACCGCTTTCTTTCCGTTTATTCTCTCATTCCATCTTTCCGATCGATCATGGATTTCATCTCAGCACTTGTCTTCTTCATCGAGGATTATGATTTGCTACGGTTAATCATCTCTCTTCATTAACATCGAACGCCATGGAATCAGGTACTCATATATTTTCATGAACTATATTTTACACACACACAAAAAACTTCAGATGTTGATCGTGTGTTCTGTCCGTGTGTCTAGGTCATGCAATTGAATATCTTCTCACTAACAGATTTCATAATTAAATGTTGATAATGTTATCTTTTTCACTTTGTATGTATGTTTTCCTTATGTGTACTCTGTTGTATATGAATTATGAATGAAGCCGAACTGCAGCTTCATTGTCGTAAAGAGATTACATGATTATTTTAATATTTGTTGAAATTCTGTTTGTTTTCCATTTTTGTCTTCTGTAAGGTAAAATATGTATCATGCATTTGTTTGTGTTGTATGGTGCATTTAGTGAACTAATATTTTATTGTTTTTTAATATTAGTTTTTGTTCACGTTTAATATCATAGATCGTTTGTTGTTTATATAGATCCGAATTGTAGTTTTCAAATTTCTCCTGGGGGTTCAAAGTACTGGATCCCTGAATGTTCACCCGAAAAGAAACCGGTTGTTGGATTAATATTTGGTTAATAGCAGATGGTGCAAGAAGGGTTTAGTGAAGCCATATTTGAGCAGACTTTATTGATGGAGG